AATTCTTAAAATAAACTATTCTATTTATAAAATACCTTAAAGTTGAAGAGTAATAACACTCTTCCATAACTCTTATAACCGAATAGCACCATCGTCTCACCGGTTAGATTATTTTATTAACAAGTATATGGTTTAGCAAAAAATTTAGTTGACTCGGAGAGGGGGGAGGATTCTATCTACCAGTTTGCGATATTCGCGAAAGCTAGAAAGATTCAAAGATTACCAGGATCATGTAAGTACTTCGTTCGCTATATATAACAATTTGAGGTTGACGATCTAATATTACTCTATTTTTTTAATTCTCTTGTTGGGGTTGGGGCAGTTATTTCTCCAATACTGTTTGATTCTTTCAGCTGTCCAGCTTGAAAAGACAGTTTGGAGTTGCAACAACACTTCCGAGATTGCGTCTTCAGGGGGTAAATCTTCGAATCTGAACAATTGGATAAGTATCGTTTTCTCTGCATCTGTAGTAACGTGACGTGTCTGTTTTGGATGGCTAGTTTCAGATGCTGAAGTGTTCTGTTGAACAGTTAACACTTGGATTGGTTTGTGTTTCTCCATATTTTCAAGTTGAGTGTGAGTGTAATTAACTACATTTCATGCGTGGTGTCCAGTAGCTACTCGGAGCTCAGTTTTATACACATCCTGCGTAAGTATTTGTTGAAAATGCAATTTTCCAGACTCATAGAAAGAAAGAATATTCTTAATGCCATTTTCACTAATTTCTGGTGCATTTCCGAACAAATAGTGTGTTGCAGGATTTGGTTCACCAAAGGCGGATGATAACTTTGCGACCAAGGACCAGAGTGAATCTTTGCGTGACTTGATCACGTGAGCATTTTTGACTTGCCACAATGTCATCAGTGTATTCTGCAAGAAGCATTGATAAATGATCTCTCTCGCTCTGGGCTGCCTTAATCTTCAGCATCACAGTCGACTGGTCGGTAAGATTTCCAGTTATATTTTGTTTGATGAACTTTACGCCGTAAGTTTCAAGCGCTTTATCAAAAGCTAAATAGTGTCCCTCATTTGCAAGGTTTACCGAGCATACAGTCTGTAGCAATTTCTGTAGCTGTGGATCATCATGAACTTGAGCTAAAAAGTGTGCTACGGAACTTGCGTACTTAAACTTTCCAGCTGCAGGGAAAAGGGGTGCGAATGCAGCCAAATTTGCTATCTGTATTCTATAATTTCTCTTTCTAATTTCAATTTTATGCCCCACGAAGTATCCTGTCCAACAGAAGAAAAGATACCATACCTTTGTTAATTGATTATCACCCTTCAAAATATCGTTCATGGTTTCCTCTTTGTCTTTCACATGCTAAGATAATGCAATTACGACTGCAACCCAGATCAATTCCAAAACATGGCACGTTACCCTGTAATCTACGACGCGTTCAAATTTATCTAAGTATCGTACGCCAAGAGTTGCTGCAATGTTGAATATTCCATACCCCGAGAATATCATAATTAGAGTGCTGCACATATCTTTAGATGTGTGTCACTATCCCAAGAGAAGTCGAACATTGTTGTTAATTTTCTTATAAGAGATTAACCTCGCAAAAATTGCCTGGTCACACGCAATATATAGACGGTCACCACGAGGTAAATCACCACGGTACATTTTGCATGCTGCATGAACATTTTTATTACAATTGGGTGGATCACCATGTTTCAATATCACGACATTTGTTGATAAAGTATTGTGAACTACAGGTACTTGTTTGGTGATTTCTAAATGCACATCTTCCATACCAAAGTCATTTATACGAGTTTCTAACATTATATTCAAAATAGTCTCATACGTCACTAGAAGATTGTTGGTGATTGAGGATTCCCCGAATAGTGGTTAATTGTCGGAATTCTGGTCTCCGACTAGATTGTCAAGAGAGATAGGCAGAACGAACTGAAATACTATTCGTAATGTTGCATGTGAAGTTTGTCACGTAGTGTCAAAAATATTGTCATATTGGAACGTAGAAATCTTGAAGTCAATATTGTCGATTACTGCTAAGGTTGCTTGCTGAAATCCCTTAGTGACTGTCTAAATTCTGTCGAAATTATAATAAACTATTAGTAAATAACCCG